AAAAAAAAAAAATGTCTACAAATTATAGCCGAGCCTAATAATATAATAATGTATATGTAACGTGATTGCGCAATTTGCACGGATACGTGTAAGAAAAACAAAAAAAAAATTATATATATACGTGTATATATATATATATATACACATAAAAGAAATTATATATTAGCCTCCCACCCCTGCGCAAAGAAAAAAAAAATATAAAAAAAGAGTAATCAAAAATGAGCATAACCGAGTGGAGTGTTCGCGTGCTTTTTGTGTAAAAGTCATCGTGTTGTTATTTATGTAACCCAAAATTGTACACTGTTTCCCCGAACAAAATTGTTATCTATGGATATATATATATATATATATATGTATATGTATATGTATGTATATATATATATATATATACTACTTTTATCATATCATTGTTGTGAATAGATTATTGTTATAAAGAAATTGTTATCCATTATTGTCCTTTAAATACATTCGCGTTTATATATAATATATAGGTAATATACATGGTTCATCTTAGATTGTATACTACTATTACTATACATGTGTCTCATTGTGTATAATAAACGTCTGACATTTACATTTACAGAGATAAATTAGAGAGAGAGAGAGAGAGAGAGAGAGAGAACGAGAGAGAGAGAGAGAGAGAGAGAGAGAGAGAGAGAGAGAGAGAGAGGGTGAGAAAAAAAAGAAGGTCAAATTTGTTTTTTGAATTATATTGACTAATAAGTAAGATAATTGTTAATATTTTTCTTTCCTTTTTTTTTTTGTTTTTTTGATGCTCGTGATTATAAGCTTTTTTTTTTTGTTTTGTTTTGTTATTTTAATCGCACTTCGACTTCGATAAGATCATTCGTCAGAACATTCGTAATTAATATAATACGATTATTTTTATGATGGAATAGAATTAATTTTGTATTTGTTTGAAAAAACAAAAAGACAAAAAAAAAATCAAATCGGATAATTAATCGTTTATCATTTTAATTTATTCATTTAAATGGGATACATGTATTTTCGAAAAGATTAGAAAAAATTCCCATATACATGTACACACACAAACACACATATATATATATATATATATATTTATTTATTTATGAGAATATTTTTACATTGCCGATATATTTAAACTATTAAACGATATACTCATGATTACAAATTATTTAGTTTTTTTTTCGTTACATTTTAGTCACACTTCGAATTCGATGAAATTATTTGTTAGAAATTATTCGTAAATAATATAATACGATGTAATTATTTTAACGATGAAATGAAATAAATTTTTGTTTGTTCGAAAAAAATAAAAAAGAAAAAAAAATCAAATCAGATAACTAATCGTTTATCATTTTAATTTATTCATTTAAATACATAAGGTAAGAAGAAATTCCCACATATACACACACACACATACATACATATATATTTATGGGGAATATTTTTATTATTGCCATATATATTTAAAACTATAAAATTATATACGTACGTAATAGTTAGCGTAGTAATTGTTATGGAGAATTCGTAAATAAAAAAAAAATAAAAAACAAAAAATTAAGGTCTTGAGAAACTTGGCTAAGGAGGGTTCTCTTTTTTTTTTTTTTTTTAAAGCAAGTGTGTCCTTAAAGATATAAATTTATAATTTTTAAATTATATATCTTTATATAATTTTTACCGGGCGAATGCTTTTTAATTTCCCATTTAAGCTATCCAGAGAGAGAGGGACCCCCCCCTGCTTAAAAATGCTCCCGAGCTAATAATCCCACACGCGATTGATGACGATAAATTATAAATTTCTTTTACAAATGAAATATATTATTATCTTTATAATATAAACAACAAACACGTGAAAACATTATAACCGGGGCATTCTCCCGCCGGGGAGGGATGGATGATGGGGAGGATATATTTTTTTTTTTACCCACCCAATATCCCACCTCTCTCTGAACCGGGACTCGAACCCGGATCTTTCGCTTTCCGGAATAAAAGACTTTGCTTGCTTTAGAACCACTGAGCCATCGAGACCTTTGAATTAATTTCTTCATAAATATGTATTTATGTTAAAGAAATATTATTAAATTGAGTGACTTGTACAATTTTAATGCAAAATATTATCTACTTTATTCTTTTTTTTTCTTAACTGATATAGAGAGGAAAAAAAAAAAGAAAAAAGAATAGGAAATAATTTAGTACCGACATTGAATTTTTTTCTTCTTCTTTTCAAAAGTGCAACAACACAAAATGCATTTTGCACTTGCACTATAGATCTTTTTTTTTTTCTTTTTTTTTTTTTCTTTTTTTTTTCCCCTGAATGAAATATTTAAATTCGGAGTAATGGGGAGATACGTATGTAGAGGTATGATACAAGTCAAATTTATTTTTTTCTTCTTTTCTCCTGGCTAAAGTTAATATTAAAATGAGAAATGAAATTGGAACTGTCTTTTCAAAATGATGGATTTTGTAGTTTGCACTATTGTTTTTTTTCTTCCTCTTCTTTTTTTTGTTTTGTTTTAAATGAAAACTTGAAATGAATATTATTGATTATTATTACAGGATATAAGCTTATATCATCGACAATCGAATAAAAAAAGATTCAGGTTTTCTAGCATTAATTAATTATGTGCGTGTGTGTATGAGACGAATTGATTGGCAATCGAACAGTGCTTCGTTTGTTTGTCTTTTATGAGATGCGTTGTTTATGAAAGAAAAAAAACGGGTTGAGATATTGAGAATGAGAGAGTGAGAGAGAGAGAGAGAGAGAGAGAAAAATGTAGACTAAGATAGACAACGAAATAAAGAATAGGACAAAAAGTCAATCAGTCATTCAGTCAATCAGTCAGTCAATCAATCAGTCAGTCAGTCAGAGTCAGTAAGTCAATCAGTCAGTCAGGCAGAGTCAGTCAGAGTCAATCAATCAGTCAGTCAGTCAGTCAATCAATCAGTCAGTCAGTCAGTCAGTCAGTCAGTCAGTCAGTCAGTCAGTCAGTCAGTCAGTCAGTCAGTCAGTCAGTCAGTCAAGTCAGTATCAGTCAAGAAAATTGACGAGAGACAATAGAACAATAATATGTACGATACATCAGTCTAGTGTGGCCATTTACGAAATGTTCGATTATATTTATTTGCTTGCCGATGGATTTTGCATGTATGAAAGATCGCCGCATAATACAGTCATATATTATCGATAATATATTTTATCGGTCGGTATACTTATCGACAATCGGTAAGCCGGTAAATGGTTCATCGAATTTTGTATAGATGGCACATCAATCAATTTTGTGATATCGCGCGAAACTTTAGCCTATGTTGAAATGATTATATATTTATTTTTATTATCTATCCAGTTTTAATTTAGATAATATTAATTATTCTTTGTTTCTAGTTTTTTCTCTCTCTCTCTCTCTCTCTCTCTCTCTTTCTCTTCTATATAAGAAAAAATCTATATAAGTATAGCATGTTTTTTTTCTATGATGTTATGCCGAAAACGTAATAATCTAGAGTAGAAAAATATCGCATTTCAAAAAAAAAAAAAAAAGAAAAAAGAAAAAAAAGAGAGAGAAAATAGAAAATAAAGAATGTCCAATTAAAAGTTCATTTGTAACTTTTATTAAATATTTCAAAATCATTTGATACTAACTTTTCCACTATTACATTGAAATTTGTTTGAAAAGCTATATAGTCATAATAAAGGTAAAATAAAAAAGAAAAAATGATTTATCATTAATATTCAATGATATACATTTGATATATAAGTGTATTTAAATGGCACATGATAAAAAAAATGATATATATGAACGGGTCGATCTACTTCAGAATAAGAAAAATACAAGAAAATCATACTGGGAGAGATATTCTATCATAAACTATCAGAAAGAAAGAAAACAGATAGTTTTGTAGAATAAATTAGAAAGAGTAAAAAAATGATTGATGTTTATGTATCAGAACAAAAAGTCAGAATGTATAATAATAATACAATTTAATTGTTCAATACATGAATGATCGAAGGGATATTAAAAAAAAAAAAAAAAAAAAAAAAAAAGACAATTTGAATCGGAAGAACAAAAACAGATTCTGATCGATGATATTTTTTTAGATATGTACGCTAGATTAAAACAATTTTTAATAAATTTTAAATTGAACGGCATACGTATAAATACTCCGATTATGAGTTTCTTTTTTTTTTTTTTGTCTAGTTTGAATTCTCATTAAATAAAAAGGCTTCGGAATTGTGCAATTAAAAGCAATATAATAATTTATGTAACCATTAAACCACATCTGATATTTACGTGATATTTATTTGCTACCCGAGAAATATGTTTTCATGTAGGGATAAAAATACTTCATAAATATTTCATGAATTACGTATTTTATTGTTAAATACAATATTTTATAAATATATTTAATTAATGAGTATGAAAATTTCACAGATTATCGCAGCGATATAAGTATGAATTTAATAAAATATAAATAAAAATTTGATAGAATAGAATATTTGCCGTTTGATTTATTAAAGGTTTATTAATAAATTTTTTTATAAACAATCCGCGTTACGTATCCCTAATTGTTTTTATATTTATGATTATCATTGCATATTTTTTATGATATTTTATAAATATATTGTAATAGCTCAATGTGATACGATATGATACGAGATATTTTTTTTTGTCTATTCTAATGAGACTTTCGTTATTTATTTGTGTTATTTAAGTCGTATGATATATACGTATATAGGTCATCTGATTATTCACATAATACTTAATTACATATTCTTTATAGATCAAAATATACTTTCATAGAAGTAACGTTTTGTTGAAAATTAGATTCTGACGTAATAGATGATTATTTAGTCATACTTTATATTCCTTGGTAATTATTAAATAAGATTTTTGCTCCAACAACAGGCAATCTGTGTTGTTTCATTAAAACAACTCGCTCATTGTAAAAATATATATGCCGTTATGCAAATTTTAGCGTCTCTATAAAAGACGAAGTTTCACGAGCTATGATTCATTTAGAGCAAGTTAAAGCGAATGCGTATAATAAAATTGCGTCGATGGTGTTAAAAGGTGTTAATATAAATTTTATTGTGAATACTTTGATAGTTCGATAACAAATATGTATCGTAGAACGTATATATAGTACGTATTAGTAAATATCATTTAGGATTAACATTGATATTAAATATATTATTACTATTAAGTGAAAGAAAGTGTTTTTCGATGATTCTCAATAATATTTAATTGAAAGTCATTATGAATCTTTTTATTTTATTATTTATCACAATGGAGAATTTCTATCATTTTGTTGTGACAAAGATATTGTAATGTCTCTATTGAATGATTGGTATATTTTTATTTTCTATTTTTTATTAGTTATGATTAGTTAGAAATATGTCGCTTTTCTTTATTTTTTTTTTTTTTTTTTTTTTTAATAATCATCAAACAATCTCAAACTTTCGTTTCTATAAACATTGGATATTTCATTAATAAAATAAATACTATAAATAAAGTTATTATTAGAATATAATATAATTTAATTTCAAAATTCACTTATTAATATATTTGATCCACATATGTAACATATTTAATTGTATGATGTTAAATTATTAAAAAAAAAAAAACGTTTGAAAACTAAGTAATATAAAATTTTATGCTGATAAAATTGCAAAATAATGATAGTTTCATGATAAGTTGCAACGTTTTAATGTAAGTTAATATAAATATAGACATCAATAGACATCGTAAATTTATCATTCTTATATAACGTGATTATTTAGATTATCATTATTAATTTTATCATTTAGTATCTATTTTTAAGCTTAATTATTTACTTTTACATATACAGAAATTATACGTTGCTTTATTACGGTGTCACCGTCACATTTGGTTCTTTTGTGAAATTCATTCTGCATCATTGTAATACTGTGAATAATTAAAAGGTAAGATCAAAAATAATATTTTATTATGTTCAAATGTTTCTTTTTAAATTATTAATTTTTTAATTTTTCAATTTTTAAAATTTCTTTATATAGAACAACGTTGGTCGAGGAGATCTATTTAATTTTTGGTATTATTATCTTAAAAATCCTGGTTACATACAGAAATTTCTTTGATATAATTGTTTTACGTAATACATTTGAATTACGTAAAATAAATTAATAATCATAAAACTTGTATCAACGGTGAATACTTTTTTTAGTTTAGGTAAGTATTTAAAAAATAATTATTTTAAACGATAATATTTGTCGGTCGATCACTTATCGGCAGTAGGTCAGTTAGACATGAAAGTTCATTGAATTCTATATAGATGGCATATCAACCAATTGCATAATATCGAGCCAAAACTGTGCTCAATTTCAATTTTAATTAATTAAATTGTCAATTATTACTCATTGATAATTTAATTAGCAGTACATTACTATAATTTAACTACCATTACTATTGAACTTAGTACTATTATAAGTACTAGTAACTCTAGTCGTAAAAACAATTTCGCTCTGGTCTGAAGGAAAAAATTCATATAAATTCGTAACAAAAAAAGGTTTTACCCTTACCGTAAATTTCATAATTTGATAAAACGAAAAATAAAAAAAAAGATAATATTTTACATACAATATTTCTTCCTCGTTTTTTTTTTCTTCGTTTTTGTTTTTACCATATCACATTTATTAGTTCTTTTTTTTCAAATGTTATCTTGAATTAATTCATTTAAAAAAAAAAAAATGATTCAAATGAAACGAATTATTCATTCGAAACTTTTATTACATTTTTAGGGCACTTTTGATATCAATTTTCCCAAAACTAGTTGAAGATTTATAAGGCAACAGGTATGGAATTCTATGGAATTCTGAAATATGAACTATTGACATTCGATATCCTGATACTTTATTGAGAAGAAAAACACTGTATCTAATCATTAATAATATCTGATCACTTTAGAAGAAAATATTTTTTTATTAAATTAACCTGTATATAGTGAGAAAACGAAGAAAAAGGGGAAAGAGAAAGAGAAAGAGAAAGAGAAAGAGAAAGAGAAAGAGAAAGAGAGAGAGAAAGAGAGAAGAAAAGCAAATATTCAAAAATGTATAGTAAATTAGTGCGGTTGAATCTGACGATGCATAAATCGATAGACATCGAGTTTTCTGATGTGGTGTACGAAAAGCCAAATGGATTTCTTGGTCAAAAAAAACAAATCCTTAAAGGGATCAACGGATATTTCAAATCCGGTGAGATGTCAGCTATAATAGGTCCATCGGGAGCTGGGAAGTCTACGTTATTGAACATATTGACGGGATTTAAACAGGAGAAAAAATTAAAAGGCAAGATAAATTATCTCGACAAAAAAGGAAATAAAGAATCCTGGACGAAACATAGAAAGTATTCCTGTTATATATTACAAGAAGATTATCTTCCTAATTTATTTACGGTGAATGAATTAATGATGATATCAGTGAATTTGAAGATAGGTGACAATCTGAATCAAAAGATGAAACAGATTTTGATCGACAATATTTTAAATACATTGGATTTGTTGGAAGATAAGAACAAACGTACGGATATACTGAGCGGCGGACAAAAGAAAAGAGTTAGTATCGCGTTGGAATTGGTCGATAATCCTTCAATTATGTTTTTAGACGAGCCTACGACAGGTCTCGATTCTTATTCATCCGTTCAATGCATTAAAATGCTTAAAAATCTAGCGAGAGATAATAAGACGATAATATGTACAATTCATCAACCTAGCGCTACTATTTACGAGATGTTCGATCATATTTATTTGTTAGCCGATGGACGTTGCATGTACGATGGAACGTCTAAAAACACAGTCGACTATTTTGCCAAATTAGGTTTACATTGTCCAAAATATCATAATCCCGCGGATTTTATAATAGAAGTCGTTAGCAATGAGTATGGAAACTTCAACGATCAACTCGTAGCAATAGTCGAGAATAAAAAAGATATCTCGCGAGAAAACTCCATGAAAAAATTGTCGATAATCGAAGAGAACAAAGAAGAGAAAATAGTCATCCTAATAAACACACCGTCCGAATTTAAGAGATTATTTATTTTATTAAATCGCAGCATCATACTATTTCACAGAGATTGGACATTATTTTATTTTAAGATGCTCGTACATGTTTCCTTAAGTATACTTATAGGTGTATTCTATATAAATTTTGGTAACGATGGTAATCTAATTTTAAAGAATATAAAATTTCTTGCTGGCAGTATTATTTATCTCTCCTTTTTCAGCGTAATACCAGCTGTATTGAAAATTCCTCTAGAACTGAAAATATTAAAAAAGGAGGAATTTAACAATTGGTATAATCTGAGAACTTATTATTTAGCTTTGGTAATAGTCGAGATATCTATCCAAATATTTTTCACTTTCTCTTACTGTTCCATTTCGTATTTTCTCAGTCAACCTCACAAATCATTTAGATTTTTCATGTTCTTTGGGATCAATACTCTGATAACAATCATCGGTAATAGCTTCGGATTGATTATCGGTTCTTTGCTCACTCCCGTGAATGGTATCTTCATAAGTTCAATAATTCTAGCAATATTTATATTGTTCCAGGGTAGTTTAATTCTGTTAAATCACATACCAAAATACTTCTATTATTTTACTTACTTCAGTTACATGAAGTACGCCTTTGAAGGTTTGATTCAATCGATCTACGGATACAACCGTGAGAAACTTGATTGTCCTAATAATATATATTGTCCATTTCGTATACCGAAAATAATAATAAAAGAATTGGCATTAACAGATGAACAATATTGGCTCAATCTGTTCGTTCTAATAATCTTCTTCATTTTCTATCAAATTCTTGCTTATTACATGTTGAAAAGGAAGCTATCGAGAACATGAAAAAAGTAGATTTATCAGTTCGAACAAAATATCACAATTTTCTTTGAATTAATATTATTCTCATATTGATCATGATCTTCATATACGAGCTTAAAATATAAATAAAATAGAATAAACAAAAGATTTGATCATTTTTAATATTATTCAATGATAGTTATGTATCATAGTAGAAATAAACATTTGATAAAAAATAATTCTTATTTTTTTGAAAATTACTTAAAACAAATTTACAATATATTTTATACTAATTGCTATTGTAAATATCAATTTGTAAATATAGTTATATCTTCTTCTTAGATTTAAATATATTATATTTTATATTATTATATTTTATATTTTATATAAAATGTAATATATTTCAATCTAAATATTATATATTATAACTAGTTGTAATAGTTTATTATTTTTTATAATATATGTGATTAATTAGGCGAAACGGAATGTAATGTCGCTTTCTTAAATTAAATTTAAACGAATAAATTTTTAACAAGTTTTTATTTTTAATCACAATTAAGACCCTTTGACCGATTTAAATGTATGCATAAATCAATGATGACTTCTTCTAAGATTCTTTCCGTTCAAATTGTATATCGTGGTTCTATAATTCTGTCTAGAAACATAAAATATCAGAAATTGTGAGAACATAAAGTTAAAAGTACCGCCCATTCTAAGTAACTTGCTATATTGAAAGTCTTGGCTCTGTTGGGTTTTCACACCTGATAAAAGATGTCCAAAATGACACTTGGCTATATTCTAGGGATAGATGAATCATGAACGAATAAAGATACTATTTAACTAACTAAATAATATAATTAAACGAATGATCTTAATATTAGGTTGGAAACTATGAAACGAACGTTTTTGTTTAGTTTTTTTTTTTATTAATGCCCGTTTCATAGTTTCCAACCTAATATATAAGTATAGAATGAATGTAATGAGAAACAAGAATACATTTGGATTTTTTTAATCAGTCTACGAAAATTTACAATTATATTAAAATCAGAGCTCGGTTTCTTATATAATAAAATAATGAAATAGAGAAAATAAAATGAAATAAAAAAATTCTTAATTTTCTGAATGCAAAGACAAAAGAGAAAAAAGGAAAAGAAAGGAAACAATTCAGAACACAATTTATAGTTATAGTTTTGTATAAATTATTCGTAGAAATGTATCATTGAAACGAATGTCAAAAACATAATGACACAATTCACAAACATATACATAATATATATAGCGGTATGATGTCATGCTACAAATATAAAATGAATTTCAAGCGAAAATTACCATACATTTGATTATTTATTATCAAGTCAGCTCTTTAAAAATCAGCCTTTTACAAGTTTTTACAAAACAAGTTATTACAAGTTAGGTTACTACAAATCAAGTGTCTATAAGTTAGATTTTTACAAGTGAGTTTTCTACTGTGATATACAATGTTTTTTTTTTTCTTTTAATTTATATAATATAAAATAACAATACATTTTTAACTACTTCGCGCAATATTAAATCCTTTTCTAATGAATTATCAGTGATTTTTCTATGAATTATCACGAAAAATATTTACACGATCTTTCGAGAGTTATTATATATTTTGAAGAAAAAAAGAACAAAAAAAGAACAAAAAAACAACAAAAAACAAACAAATATTCAAGATGACAGAAAAATATATTTATTTAAATGTTACGAAACAAAATTTTCTAGGCAAATTTCTTGCAAAATTTGTTCAGTCACAAAATGACTTGCACGTTTCCATTTATTTTGATAATTTTGGAATGACGCTGATTCGTTATGATAAAAATTCAAAAAGAGTTTTAATAATTAAAATGAATATGAGCAAAAATATTATATAAATTATTTGTATTGCAATATTTTATCGTTTAAAGTGATCAATGAATTATTCGAAGTTAAAAAATCGAACGTTCGTATGATTGAAACAAGACTTTTTTCGTATGAAAATCACTTGTAAAAATTTTCTTTTTTTTTCTTTTTTTTTAGACACTATTTATACCATAAATATAAGTTACAACCTGTCTTTATCTTATTATATATCAAATGATTATTTGATATATAAAAATTTATTGAGAATTGCAATTAAAAGATTGGTTGTAACATTTGTAAATACATTCAGTAGTAGCCTTAAGGAAATTTTTTTTTTCTCTTCGAACATCTGTAAATATCATACGGAAATAATTTTATTAAATACGACTATTTCATATCGAATATTTAATATTAATTAATATTAATTAATATAATTTCATATCGAATAGAATCGAAATATCGAATATTTCATTATAAAATAACTTTTACAAATAATAGTTGAGTATTTGTTAAGTCTAATTTGTTAATTATTTTTGTATAAATTGTTATATTCATAAAATATCATTAATAGTAATATGATATAACAGTAATTATTTTTCCTTTTATATAATAAATAATAATAGTAAAAGTTGTGTGATCATAAGGAAATAAATAAGGTATGCATTATTCTTCTTCATTATCATATAAAACCGAAAAAAGTTTATACGCAGTTAAAAAAATATACATTCTTGAAGTCATAGTATTGTTTGTGAGGTAGATAATGAAACCATTTAAATGATAATACTATTTTTATTCTAGTATATACTAAAAATAAGTTTATCTCTCTCTCTCTCTCTCTCTCTCTCTCTCTCTCTCTCTCTCTCTCTATATATATATATATATAGATATAATAATGTAACATGAAAGAAGTGATAAGAAATCCACTTTATCATAATAGTTTGATTTTTATCAATGCTGGCACATGTTAATGTTCGCTTATATTCTTAGTGAATTCTTTGTGAATGAATCGGTAATTATTATTTATGAAGTTTTCTAGAATTGATTGTACTTATTCGAAGAAATATGGATCTTTTAACATTTATTGGGCTGATCTATGTTTGTTATATTCTTGCCATTCTCATTTATCCTTGGTGCATGGATTGTAATTTAGAACTTGCTTTATTAAGCAAATTTGGAAAATCTATTGGTAAGTATCAATAAACATATAAATATAAATAATTTATATAATATAGACATTATATGTCGTTGAATATTGATAAAAATCATATCATCATATTATGTTTGATTTTGTAGATACATTGAAAGGTAAAGTTGTCTGGATAACTGGAGCTTCCAGTGGAATTGGAGAACACTTAGCATACGTATTAGCAAAAGCTGGATGTAAATTAATATTATCTGCTAGAAGAGAGTCACTATTACAAAATGTTAAGAAAGTTTGTTTACAAGGTAAACATTTTTTTATTCTCTTTGAAATATTATGGAAATATTAGAAAAATGTTTATATAGTAAGCATATATGACACATTGAAAAAAAAAAAAAAAAAAAAAAAAAGAAAAAACATCTATAGAACTTTTCTCATAGAAAATGCTGACTTGAAAGACGATGATGTGCTAGTACTTACATTAGATGTTTGTAATATGAACTTACATCAGGAAGCATTTGATACAATTATTAAACAATTTGGCAAGGTATAAAAGACCTTTATTATATTTTATTTCTATATAATAATATTATTCATTATAATCCTTATAATATTATTTAAAATGATATTAGATATATAGAATTTTTAAAAGCGATTGATAATTTATAATTGCAATGATCTTATTTTCAGCTTGACATATTGATTAATAATGCAGGACGAAGTCAAAGAGCACATTGGGAAAATATTGAGCTAAGTGTGGATAGAGAAATATTTGAATTGAATGTGTTTTCATACTTATCATTATCTCGTATAGTAATGAAATATTTCTTACAAAATAATCTCGGTCAGATTATAGTTATATCTAGTTTAAGTGGAATTTTTCCAGCTCCTTACTCAGCAAGTTATACTGGTAGCAAATACGCATTGCATGTTAGTATTTTTTGAAAATAAGAAATTAAGAGATTTATTTTGTATTTACATAATTTATTTGTATATCCCAATCTTTTTCTTTTTTAGGGTTATTTTGATTCCTATCGTGTAGAAAAATATGGCAAAAATTTTCCTTCTGTCACTATAATATGCCCTGGACCAATTCAAACAAACTTTCTAGCAGAAGCTTTCACAGAAAAATCAGGAGAGGTAATTTGATTATTTCTCTATATAATAATAATAATAATAATAATAATAATAACAATAATAATGTCATTTTATCATTTTCCAGAAATTTGGAATAGAAACAGATAAAGCCAGTAATAAGGTTAGCGCAGAACGTTGCGCTGATTTATCAGCATTTGCAATCGCAAACAAAGTTTCTGAGGCATGGATTTCACAACCGTCTATATTATTCGTGGCATATTTAATAAAATATTTTCCAAATATGGGTGAATGGTATGTAACAGAAATAGTACAATCTTAATTTAAATTATTTTATTAGATAAATAGTTTTGTGAAAGATTTGAAGAATTTAATTTAATTTTATAAATAAAATGATGGTTTAAATTTAAGGTTTATAAAGTTCATGGGTAAACAATATTTAAAGAAGCTACGAGATGCCAAAAATGCAAATAAATTGTAACAATTGTTTGGATTTTTTAATGCATAATATGCAATATATTATTTTTATAAAAATAAAAGGATTATATTATGTATAATATGATATTATGTAATAAATAAAATATACATTAAAAGAGACATTATATTTTACATGTTTATACATGACATATTTAAAATCACTTTTTAACAGATTCTAATTTTTTTAACATAAGCTTCCTGGCATTTTTGCCGCGCAATATTGCCTCGCAGAAAAGACTACAATAAAGTTCAATGGCACATGGTGTATCATCATTGCCAGGAACAGGATATGTTATAAGATTAGGATTACAATTTGTATCAACAATGCCAATAGTAGGTATGCACATTTTTGCTGCTTCAATAATCGCAGGATGTGGAGCAACAACATTGTCAAGTGTGTGAATAAATATACACAGATCAGGTAATCTTGTTTCGAAACGAAATATTTTAACAGAATCTGTAAATATTCCAGACTTCCAGTTTCTAGTTAATGCATATTCTTGGCAATTCAAAGCAGTTTTTTCAATTATACAAGTGCTTGAAGGATTCTTGGAAATAAATAAAATTAATCCACCATGAAGTGCGATATGAGCAGTAAAATTCAAAGCTTGTCGTAAAAGTTCAGTCGTTTGGTTCAAATCTATTATCAAATGTCCTAATCTTGAACCAAATATAAATGGACGCATATTTTCATGCAATGTACCTTCCTTGTGACCATAATGTACCATTCCATTAAATAAATCTTTAATTGTAAAAAGGTTATGTACTTGAAAAAAGTCTGGGTGTTCCATAGGATTAATAGAATGTTTTCTATTATCTGAAAAATAAAATTTATTTTAATGTACAAATAATAAATAATACATACAATAGTTAAGATACAATAGTTAATAAACAAACAACTATAAAAAAAAAAATATATATATATATAAAACATACCATTTACTTCTTTTTCTTCAACCGAAACTTGTGTTGACATTGCTTTTCGATAAATATTCGATCCAAATGCTCTTACAGAATTTCGTTCTCGAAGAACTATATATTAACAATTTACAAAAAAAAAATATTATTTCAATGATTTTTATTATTATCATTTTATAAAATTAAATTTATATATATGTATATAAAAATATATATACCAAATACATTTACATTTTCGCAAATAATTTTGTATTGCAATTCTAGCCATTATATATAAAATTGTTAAATTTTTATTGAAATATTTATTGTCCTTAACCTATAACTTTTGCCAATATTCACTTTTAATCACTCAAATACACTTCATGTCAAGAGCGTCAAACGCACGTAGAGAAAATTTTTACTACACTTTTTCATTCATAGGTGCGCTACCATCGCGAACAATCAATATACTTGAGATATTATTATACATAAATTACTTTCAGAATAATTTTTTATTCAAAAGATTATTAACAAAAATCAAAAATGAAAAGTGAAAAAAGAACAGTTTTTCCTTTCTTTATTCAATTTTTTTGGTTTCTTTCTTCACTGTTCATCACCTATGTGACTTTAGCGACAGCTATGAACTACAAAAGAAAACATAGAATATTGTCGCCACCGTGCGTCTAGAATAGAATATTAAGAAACAGAGAAAAATAAAACAATATAATAAAATAATTAAAATTATAATATAATAATTAAAATAATATAATATAGAATAATAAATAATTAAAATAATATAATATAGAATAATAAATAATTAAATTATAATAAATATTATAATTTCAATGTTAATGCCCTTTTTCTAGTTCTATATAGTATCGATATATAGATACGCATGTAATTTGTGTAATAAATCGAATGCAATTCTGATGGTGTGCTTTCCTTCATTTATTTTATTATAGCTTATAATAAGTTTTGCATTTTTATCTCTTTAATATTTTTTATTTCTTTTTTGAAATAATACATAATATTGCAAATGTTAACGCTACGTCTTGATTTAATCATTATTATTTAACAAATTTTCATTTATTGATCCCGGACAATAGTTGTTGATTTTAAAGTTAGTGCTTGTAGTTGTGAAATAGTTCGATTGCTTTGTAACCCAATAGATTGTTTTAAAGATAAAATAAAAACGCGAATAATAATCAATGCTTTCTGAGCTTCCACCTAAGAAATCAATTTCTAACTAATTTATATATTTATTGCAGCATAATGATTAGAAATGTATAATATACAAATATTACTGTTTAGGTTAAATTAATAAATATGCAGCCATTCGCTCGATAATACTTGCATTATAAGATTTACAATTAGACTTTGCAAGTACTAACGACCCAGATCTCACCACGTGGAGGTTGCTGCATGTGGAGACCCACGGACTGACGGTGACTCTACTCTAAAATCCGCGCTCCGCGATACCGATCCGCTATACCTTTCCGCTTCAATGCACAGGCTTCTTAACTAACAGGGTATGCGTAGCTTTGCTACTACACACCTCTTACAGATAGCTCCACCATTTGCACCGTCCGCTTCAGACATAACGGATTATTAAGCACATTCGAATTGTGCTTTCCGAATTTCGAACAATCAAAGCGCACTCCTTAGACTACTAATCGCGTCGCGACACTCACGTGTGTGTTATAATTACGTAGATTCTACTGTTAAGCCGAAATTCGCGAAGTACCCCCATCGGAATTTTGAAAAAAGCAAACGAAGTCCACGGTAGGACCTTTAATCGCGACCGAACACCCACGCGAATGTTAGAAAAACGATGACTCTACTCTACTATTCGCGTTTTCGATTCGAACAATCAAACGAAGTTTAATCGCGCCCGAGAACACCAACGCCTGTGCCCGCCGACACGCGCGCCAGTGTTCTTCCTATCCTTCCCGTATTCGCGCGTAGAAATCGATGATGAATCTCGTCATGCGACGACGAATTCGTCCGGTGATGAACATATCCCTCGATGATCTATCCTGGAAAAGAAAAAACTAAAGAGAAAATAAAAAAAACAAAAAAATACATAAAACAGAAAATAATATATATACATATATATAAAATACAAATAGAAAATATATATAAATAGATAAGAAACTTAGAAAAAGAAACGAAAAGAGAAGCAGCATGCACCATCCCATGAGACCTACCTAAAGGTTATAAATCATAATTAATAAAAATATATTAAAAACATAATTAAAAACATAAGCACATAATTAAACACATAATTAAATACATAATTAGAAAGAAACAACATAAATAAATATTAAGAAAACATAATTAAAAGGACAACACAATAATAACGTAATTGAAAACATAATTTAAAAAGAAAAATATGAGATAGAAACGAGAGCCGGAGAAAGAAAAGAGAGCCCAAGTAAGAGAAGAATAGAAAGACCCAAAAAGATAAAACAAGAGAAAAAGTTCTATATGATGCTGAGACAGCAACCCGCACAGAAGCCCTCGCCCACAGGCCCCTCCCATGGGTCCCACCCGAGATATATAAAGGATAATTGATAATAGTAAATAAGAAAAAATAGAAATGACACCGGACATTGAAGTGTGATAAAAAAATTTCTTTTTCGTTTCTCCAAGAAATTATTGTACAATATATTTCTGCTATATTCCTTCTTTTGAAGTATTATTAGTCATATAAAATAAAAATATGTTAATGATTAGTTGGAATTAGTTTGAAAAGATATTGTAAAAGTAATACAATATGCAGCCATTCGCTCAGTAATACTTGCGTTAATGAATTTATAATTAGTATATGCAAGTAATACCGACCCAGGTCTCACTACGTGGAAGTTGCTGCATGTGGAGACCCACGAGCTAACGGTGACTCTACTTTACTCTAAAATACGCGTTCCGCGATACCGATCCCTTATGCCTTCCGCTTCGGATATCTTGGGCATGGTACAAAGCTAACAGGAAGTATCTAGCCTTAGCTACAGGGACTCCACTTACAGAAAGCTTAACCGTTCAACACCCTCCGCCTCAGGCATAACGAATTATTAAGCACATCTAAATTCGTGCATCCGAATTTCGAACAATCAAAGCGTATTAATCGCGTTCGCGACACTCACGTGTGTTATAATTACGTAGATTCTACTGTTCTATCCAAATTCGCGAAGTAATCTAATCGATATGTCGAAGAAATCAAACGAAGTCCCCGGTAGGACTTTCAATCGCGCATGCGAACTCTTACGTGAGTGTTAGAATAACGGTGACTCTAAGTTGAAATCCGAAGCGCACTCCGAATTTCAACACTAAAACGAAGTCCATGATAGGACTTTTAATCGCGCCCGGTCACCCACGCAAGAGTTCGGAAAACGGTGACTCTACTCTAAATAAACTAATCGAATATTCGAACAAACAAAACGAAGTCCCCGGTAGGACTTTTAATCGCGCACGCGAACACTCACGTGAGTGTTAGAATAACGGTGACTCTAAGTTGAAATCCAAAGTGACATATGCTAACCGGTATTTAGACTTTCCATGATATTTGTCGGGATTTCCGCCCCGCTACCAAACATTAGGATTGTCATAACATCAGCCAGCTATGTACAGCACTACAAGGTAAACCGTTCGCGCACCCCGAATTTCAACACTAAACGAAGTCCATGGTAGGACTTTTAATCGCGCCCGGACACCCACGCAAGTGTTCGGAAAACGGTGACTCTATTCTAAAAAAAACGCGTTCGCGAGGTAATCTAATCGAATATTCGAGCAAATATAAACGAAGTCCCCGGTAGGACTTTTAAGTCGCGTTCGCGTTCATTCACGTGAGTATTAAAAAAACGGTGATTCAACTCTAAATTCGCGTTTTCGATACGAGCTATCAAACGAAGTTTAATCGCGCCCGCGAACACCCACGCCTGTGCACGCCGACACTCGCGCGAGTGTTCTTCCTATCCTGCCCGTATTCGCGTGTAAAAATCGATGATGAATCCAGCCAGGCGATGACACATTAGACCAGAGGAGAACCTATCCCTTGACGATCTATCCTGAAAAAAAAGAAGCTAAGGAAACATTAGAAGAAGAAAAGAAAAGACATATTGAATATCGATGCATGATTGCTCGATCATCCCTGAAAAAGAAAAAAAGAAGATTAATAAAAGAAAGATAAGAAAATAGAAGTAGGTCTGCACGCTGCTGAAACAACAGTCCGCTTCATCTCATGGATCCCACCTAATGCTTAAAAATGAAAATTAATTAGAATATATTAATAACAAACCTAAAAACATAAAAACATAATTAAAAAGAAATGACATAAATAAATACTAAAAAAACATAATTAAAAGGAAATAACATAATAAAAATCTGAAAAGACATAATAAAAAGAAATATCATATTAATAACATAATTAAAAACATAATTTAAGATGAAAAATATGAGTAATAAAAGAGAGCTGCTAAAAGATAAGAATATAGAAGTAGCTCTGCATTCTGCTGGAACAACAGTCCGCTTCATGTAATGTTTCCTACCTAAAACCTGTAAATCATAATTAATAAGAATATATTAAAAATATAATTAAAACCATAAAAACGTAATTAAAAAGAAATAACAAATAAATATTAAAGAAACATAATTAAAAAGAAATAACATAATAAAAATCTGAAAAGTCATAATGAAAAGAAATGACATATTAATAACATAATTAAAAATATAATTAAATAAGAAAAATATTAGATAGAAAAGAAAACTGCAGAAAGATAAGAAAATAGGAACAGCTCTATAAAATGCTGAGAAAGCAACCCGCACAGAGGCCCACACCCATGTCCCCATCCCATGGGTCCCACCCGAGACTAATAAATCATAATTAATAATAGCAATTAAGAATGAAAAATATGAAATAGAAAAGACAGCCCTAAAAAGAGAATTAAAGGGAAGCAGCTCTATAGATGCTGAGAAAGCAACCCGCACAGAGGCCCACACCCATGACCCCATCCCATGGGTCCCACCCGAGATTGATAAATCATAATTAATAATAGTAATTAAGAATGAAAAATATGAGATAGAAAAGAGAGCCCCAGAAAGAAAAGAAAAGAGAAGCAGCTTTACACGATGCTGAGACAGCAACTCGCACAGAAGCCCTCGCACACAGGCCCCTCCCATGGGTCCCACCCGAGATATATAAAAGATAATTGATGATAGTAAATAAGAAAAAATAGAAATGACACCGGACATTGAAGTGTGATAAAAAAATTTCCTTTTCGTTTCTCTGAGAAATTATTATACAATAGAATTCTACCATATTTCTTCTTTTGAAGTATTATTAGCGATATAAAATGAACATATGTTAATGTTCAGTTGGAATTAGATTAAAAAGATATTGGAAACGTAGAAAAATATGCAGCCATTCGCTCAGTAATACTTGCATTAAAGAAATTATAATTAGGATATGCAAGTAATACCGACCCAGGTCTCACTACGTGGAAGTTGCTGCATGTGGAGACCCACGGACTGACGGTGACTCTACTCTAAAATCCGCGTACCGCGATACCGATCCGCTATACCTTTCCGCTTCAATGCATTGGCTTCTTAACTAACAGGGTATGCGTAGCTTAGCTACAACACACCTCTTACAGATAGCTCCACCATTTGCACCGTCTGCTTCAGACATAACGGATTATTAAGCACATTCGAATTCGTGCTTTCCGAATTTCGAACAATCA